TTTGGTGGTGATGATGATGAGTTAAGGAAAGATCCGGCTTACTTGTCTTATTACTATGCTAATATGAAGTTGAATCCGAGGTTGCCACCGCCTTTGATGTCTAGGGAGGATTTGAGGGTTGCTCAGAGGCTTAAAGGGAGTAGCAACGTGTTAGGTGGTGTTGGGGATAGGAGAAATGTGAATGAGAGTCGATCTTTGTTCTCTATGCCACCTGGTTTTGATCAGATGAATGAGTTTGAGGCTGAGAAAACTAATGCTTCTTCTTCTGAGTGGGATGCTAATGGATTGATTGGTTTGCCGGGTTTGGGGCTTGGAGGCAAGCAGAAGAGTTTTGCTGATATCTTTCAGGTTTGGAATACTTTACCCTCTGCCCTTTTTTCCTTGTCATTTTGTCTGATGTTTGCCCCTTTCCCCTGGCTATTGAAACTTGAGGGACGTATGGGTTTCATTCAGAATGATTATTGTATGTGTCTGTGTATATTTCCCCTGCTTATGTAGATTGCTTTTATGCAGCCTGATATGGGGCATCTTGTCTCACAACAGCCTTCACGTCCAGCTAGTCGTAATGCCTTTGAGGAAAATGTGGACTCCACGAATAACCAGTCTCCATCTGCTTCACAAGGCATTGGTGCGCCACCTCCATACAGTTATGCAGCTGTCCTGGGTTCTTCTTTGTCTAGAAATGGAACTCCAGATCCGCAGGCTGTTGCTAGAGTGCCTAGTCCCTGCCTTACTCCTATTGGGAGTGGAAGAGTGAGTTCAAATGACAAGAGGAACATAAGTAACCAAAGCCCTTTCAACGGTGTTACATCAGGTCTCAATGAGTCTTCTGATCTTGTCAATGCGTTATCTGGCATGAACCTGTCAGGCAGTGGTGGATTAGATGATCGTGGTCAGGCTGAGCAGGATGTTGAAAAGGTCAGGAACTATATGTTTGGATTTCAAGGTGGGCATAACGAAGTCAGTCAACACGTTTTCCCAAACAAATCTGATCAAGCACATAAGGCAACTGGTTCTTTAAGGAACTTACAGATGAGAGGGTCGCAAGGATCCTCCTATAATGGAGGTGGACTAGCTAATCCTTACCCGCACCAGCATCTTGATAGCCCAAACTATTGTCTCAACAATTACGCATTAAATCCAGCTGTAGCTTCTGTGATGGCTAACCAACTTGGGAACAGTAACTTTTCTCCAATGTATGATAATTATTCTGCTGCATCTGCTTTGGGATATTCTGGAATGGGCTCAAGACTTCATGGAGGAGGTTTTGAATCACGTAATCTTGGCAGATCCAATAGAATGATGGGAGGAGGAGGTCTTCAGTCACATATGGCAGATCCAATGTATCATCAGTACGGGAGGTACTCTGAGAATGTTGATTCGCTTGATCTTCTTAATGATCCTGCAATGGACAGGAGCTTTATGGGTAATTCATACATGAATATGCTTGAACTCCAGAGGGCCTATCTCGGAGCTCAGAAATCACAATATGGTGTTCCTTACAAATCTGGGAGCCCTAACAGCCATAGCTATTATGGGAGTCCAACATTTGGGTCTAACATGTCATATCCTGGTAGCCCATTGGCTCATCATGCTATGCCAAATTCTCTTATGTCACCTTGTAGCCCTATGAGACGAGGTGAAGTTAATATGCGCTATCCCTCTGCAACAAGAAACTACTCTGGAGGGGTTATGGGTCCTTGGCACATGGATGCTAGTTTGGATGAAGGCTTTGGATCTTCATTGCTTGAAGAGTTTAAAAGTAACAAAACAAGAGGGTTTGAACTTTCTGAGATAGCTGGACATGTTGTGGAGTTCAGGTATTTCCTTGACTGTATTTTCCCTTATTTTGCGTCTATATTTGTCCTAATCTACCGCTTATTTGGGGGATTTTTGTCAATTTGGCGATCAGTGCGGATCAATATGGGAGCCGGTTTATTCAGCAGAAACTCGAGACAGCAACAACTGATGAGAAAAACATGGTTTATGAGGAGATCATGCCACATGCTCTCGCCCTGATGACAGATGTTTTTGGAAACTATGTGATTCAGAAGGTAGATATTAGAGTCTTCCGTTTTCTTTATTTTGAGTTAAAGACATTGAAAGTTATAACACAGTGAGATTCCTGACTGCTTACAGTTCTTTGAGCATGGACTCCCGCCTCAGAGGAGAGAATTGGCAGATAAACTCTTTGAAAATGTTTTGCCTCTTAGCTTACAGATGTATGGTTGTCGTGTTATCCAGAAGGTGAAGTCTAGTTCTTACCTCTTTTGCTGTTCTCTACAAGTCTATATTTGATTCTGAAGAACAGTTGAGAGGTTCGTTATTTTTCTCGGTTTACCTTTGTAGGCAATCGAAGTGGTTGATCTAGATCAGAAAATTAAAATGGTGAAAGAACTTGATGGACATGTGATGCGATGTGTACGCGACCAGAATGGGAACCATGTGGTTCAAAAGTGCATCGAATGTGTGCCTGAAGAAAACATTGAATTCATTATTTCGACTTTCTTTGGCCATGTTGTGAACCTCTCTACTCACCCATATGGGTGCCGCGTTATCCAGGTTCTTGCTTTAGTAATTAAAAAGATGACACATTTTTTAATCTTATACTTCTATGTATAACCTTTTTTTATCTTCTGTTGCAGAGGGTATTGGAGCACTGCCATGACCCAGATACACAGAGTAAGGTTATGGAAGAGATCCTGTCCACTGTTAGTATGCTGGCCCAAGATCAGTATGGAAATTATGTTGTTCAGGTTTGTAAAAGATATGAGTTTTACTGCAATTTTTTTTATTGGTTGCACAAAACTGATGCATGTTTTGTGGACAGCATGTACTGGAGCACGGAAAGCCTGATGAGCGCACTGTGATAATCAAAGAATTAGCAGGGAAGATTGTTCAGATGAGCCAGCAGAAGTTTGCATCAAACGTTGTTGAGAAATGTTTGACTTTTGGAGGTCCTGAGGAACGGGAATTGCTAGTGAATGAGATGCTGGGCACAACTGATGAAAACGAGCCTCTTCAGGTTTGTCTAACACCATACTTTCAGATGATTGTGGGGGGAGGGAGGGGGAATAAAGAAACGAATAAGCTCATAAGATTCGTTTTCTTGTGTATACAGGCGATGATGAAGGATCAGTTTGCAAACTATGTAGTGCAGAAAGTTTTGGAGACATGCGATGACCAACAGCGTGAGCTGATACTTACTCGTATTAAAGTGCATCTTAATGCTCTGAAGAAGTACACTTATGGAAAGCATGTCGTTGCACGTATTGAAAAGCTCGTTGCTGCTGGAGGTATGCATATGTTCCTCTTATTCCCTCTAGGTCTTAAGTTTCTGCCTATTCTGCGACAATCCTCCCAAATTGTCTTTACTGCATGCATTTCTCTTGTCTTGGTGGTTGAAGAGAGTTCTAAAAGCATTTGAGAAAGATAAGTCAAAATAAGCATTTCTCTGGCCATTCGTCTCTAAGTGTTTTTTTTTTCTTATATGCAGAGAGGAGAATGGCTTTGCAGTCCCTAACCCAGCCTCAGATGGCGTAAGGCCGCAAGTGTTGTACAGCTTAACTAGGGTGGATGGCTCTGCCATTGCATTTTGAGAATTAGGTAAGATCTAAACCGGAAATAATCTGTGGGAAACTTGTGAAGGAGAGAGCTTTATTTTCTCTGCAAAAATCTGTAAAATTGTGTAGTTGCTTAAAGGTTTTTCTATACATAGAACCAGACATCCCCTCTTTAGGCTGATGAGTGAGAGAAAAAGGCAGAGAATGGTGTAAAGATTTTAGGGTTTCCTTCACACAAAAGAGAATGGCTGTTTCATTGCCAAATGTGTAGAAGTGAGAATATGTTCATGCTTTTAGGACAATCCCAGTTTTTAGAGTTTTTTTTTTTTTTTTCTCCATCTATGTAATTTGCTTCATCAAACTCTTGTTTCTTATTTCACGAGGCATTCTTTTGTTTCTGGAATTTGCAATCTCGTTGTTGATATCGATCATTGTTGTTTTGGCATATATGAAACATATCATTGATGTCACAGTCACATAAGTAACCTTACAAACGAAATCTATCTTGGTCTCTCTACAAACAATGGAGCAAAATCATTAAATAATGGCGATGTCAACATCTTCAATCTTGAGATGTTCTGACCAAACCTCTTTGTCCAGCTTTGGCGGTTTTGTGGATGAAACATTCACCAATGGTGAGAAAGTGACTTGTATAATTAAAGCAACACCATCTTCACCAACAGTAGACACAAGAAATGCAACAAAGAAACTCACTCGTATATACTAAATAAATATTCAATTTGTTAATCAAATAATACATAGTCACAAATCTAAAAATTCACTACAAAATACTCCCTCGGTTCCTAAATATGATTTTTCTAGGAATAAAAAATTGTTTTAAAAAGTTTATTGTTTCAGTTATCAATGCATAATTAATTAGTATTTGCAAATTTCAAGAAAAATAACTAAATAATACTGGTTTAAAAACTTTAAAAACCGTGAATCACAAAAATGATACAGTTATTGTAAAATTTTAGATATTTTCTTAATATGTTTGAAAAATCTAATCATTTAAGAACAGAGGGAGTATTATTTAGATGTATATATAATATAAAATTTTATTTACCTAACCATATCACAAAAAATTTAACTTTAAAAATAATAAACTAATATATAGTTTAATGTTTCTATTTTGAAATATAAAAGAGATTGTAACTGAATTTAAACACCGTGTGTTTCATAGTTTGGGCGAGAATGTTTTTTAGTTGTGACGGAAATATTTTGTACCATTTTACCTTCTATATATACTTAAAAAAGAAAATATGCAACGATATTTTTGTAATATCTTACATCAAAATTGTTTAATTTATTAAAAATATTATTCAAGTGAATAGTATAAAAATAGTTTTCATATGACTTACACAATTTTTCTTAACAACTTTTATATATAAATGTGATCACTACAAAAACACATGCATATATATATTTGATCCAGTTGTTGATGTTCATAAATAATAGTACGAACTTGACCCACCATCTTCGGAAACATGTTTACTCTCATACGAACTGTTGATGTTCCAATGGTTTTCAAAATCTGTGAGGTAAATGTATGGATTTAGGATAAAGAAAAAACTACATTGCTTACATTATTTATATAATTGTTATATAAAAGAGTTAGAAATATTTTTTTAAATACCATAATCAAAGATGGATGGAGTTGGTATCTTATGCTTAAAATTGAGATCATCCAAATCACCAAAGATATCCTCCTCTTCATTTGTGATAGCAGCTGAAACTTTTGCCAATAATATATCAAACAATAATGTATTAAAAAGATTCAAGTTTAATGTTCTCACCATTTTCAGCAATTTTAGAATTACTCTTTGCATTTATAACCTCGACTTTGTCATCATTATCATCACTCTGTAAAAAACCTATGGTTTAATTATAGAAGTTATGCATGTCTATAATATAGAATTTTCATATTTATATAAAAAAAATGCATAAATATTTGCAAGATTGCTAAATGAAACATTAAAGTTAATAACGCACCTCAATGTTTTCTTTGGCCAATGGTAGTTGAATTTGAATGTTAGAATGTCCCTGGAAAGGATGAATAACAATATATTCATTATCACAAAATTTTTAATTTATGATTAAATGAAACTGAACAAACTAAGCTTGTAACAAAGAAATACCATAAATAACCCAAATGAAATAATATATCTTATAAATACATTGATTATTTATTTGAAAGCTAGCTTGCTATGCATATCAACATATTTTTTGTCTAATAGGAGAAAACAAATTACACTATTCATTTTCTTAATGTCACTCCATTGACCGTATGGATCATATTAAAACTGTCAATATATACATTTATATATAAACTGTCAATATATACTTTCATAACAGTTGGATGACATAAAATTTCCTATAATTTTTTTAAACAGAATTTAAGTTAAAATATTTGCTTTGCATAGTTATTAAATAAATCTATTTAGATCTAAGGAACACACCTGGTGACTCAAAGTCCAGAAACATGTTCCTTGGTTGTGAACATCTCTACTTCTAACTTGACCATGGCTACATCTACATTCAGTACCATGGTCACCACCCTGACCACGAGCATGACCAGCACATTCACAAATTTTCTCATCATCCGGTACATTCATTTCTCTTCCAACAACCTGTGCAATTTTATTATATTCATGACATTTTGGCTGCAATATATGTAAGCATCAATTTTAAAAATCCTAAAACTTTGACCCAACCTGACCCAAACCAATTTTTGGGCTTTGATTTAACCCAATTTGAATTTAGGTTTAATTCGGAGAGATTGAGATATGTGTTGTTAATCTACACCAAGCGATACCCGAGTTTCTAAAACAAAATATTTATATCACAATATACCAATTTTTAACCGGTTTTTGAGATTTGACTGATTTTAACCTGAAAAACCCAAGCCTAAACCTAACTCGAACCGAAATTCGACTCAACCCGAACTAATTTTTTGTTTGGTTAAATTTGGTAAAGTTTTGAATACCGTACTACGTAATAAATTTACGCTACCCAACCAAAACCCCCAAACTCGTAGGCCTAATACAAATACTTACCGAACCATTTTCATGTATATCATCATTCAGAGACAGATCCATAATATATCATATAAATTAAAGCATATCGTGTAATAAACGACTACAAACTCACAAATAAAGAATCATCACAGATAACCTTAAACATAAGAATTCGAAAAAGCAACTCTAAGATTTTTTGCATATAGAGAAAATTGGAACTTACCACAAATCCTTGTGGTTCAGAGTGTGAAGGAAAATTTGAAGAGGAAGACATTTCAAAAGTTAAATCTGAGATTAGATTTTATGAAATCAAAGTAGATTACGAAAGATAAATTACATTTACAGGGTTACATATTTATAAATACAGATGGAAGAAGGGACTTGACATATATTTTGGTATTCAAAGTCAAACTTTAAAAATAAATACCTTTAAATTTTTGTAGATACCTTTTGATTTTTATTTCCAAAAAAAAATGTCAAATTATAGCAATTTCTTTTTTGATAGGGGAATTATAGTAATTTCATAATTGATTTTAGAGACTGTTAGATAATCAGCAGTTGGTAGCCAAAAGTTAAAATCCAATTGGAAATAATGCAATATCTTATTTGTTTAATTACTTAAAGACATTTTAGCAGTTGGAAATATTTCAATAGTTTCAAAGAAAAATATACATATTCTGGAAGTAACTAAGATAGATAAATAATTATGTGGTAATTTAAATTAGTTACTTTATTTATTAACTGGAAACATTAAATAACATATAGTCAAACTGAAATAATCATTGAACTCATAAACGTCAATTACTACCATACTTGGTACGCTGAACTTTTTATTTGATATAAATTTGGAATAATTTATTTATATTATTTAATTGAATATTTATTAATCTTGTAGATGTGTTCGTATATCCAAACAAACAATATATCCTACTATTTTAAAGAGGAAGTACCACTTCAGACTTAGACATGGGTTTCAAAATATTTACAAATATTGCCATTGGATAAATGAACAAACAAACAATACAATTAAGGGTAATTTTGTCATTTAGATGATATTAGTTTCGGATAAACATGCGGGTTAAAGTTAAACATGGATACTTAACCGGGTTATAATGTTTTCTTACCGTCCCATTGTTACCCTATATTGGAATTTCCCTGTGAAATACATAGGGGCTTATATGAACAATTAAACTAAATTGTGATTTTTTTTCTTGGTCCAATCTGAGATCTTACTAATTCGAGTAAGTGTCAAGTCCAAAACGGATATATTTCTACTTTAGTATGATTATTTCAAAAAATTTGGGTATTGAGAATATATGGACGGAAATACGAGTATTCCGTCTGAATCTCTCACATAAACCATATATATATATATATATATATATATATAATAAAATTCATTTTTGTTATATAAATATCCGTTATCCACGGGTATTGTAAATTCAAACGGGACGAATGCAGGCACTACTCATGTGGGTTTTGTGGAATAATTTTTTTTACGGATAAAAAATATTAAATCTTTTACAGGACATGCAAATTGGGGTGGGTTTGCCAAGCTTGACATCCGGTTAATTTTTTTTAATTTGTACTTGCGATTTTTGTTCGATTTGGTAGTTTATGCATTATTTTTACTCAATCTAAAATACTAATCAATTAGTTGATACAAAAGTATGAGTCAGTACTGTAGCACGTGTAAGTAACTAGTTTGTTTGATTATTTTGCGATTTTATTTGTAGTTTAATGTTTCGATTTTATATATTTAATTTGTTTAATTATCTTTATTACCCAATGTTTTTTTTTCCTTTTTAAAATTTTTCTAATGGTATTTTAATGTAATTTCTTACAATTTATAACGTTATTTTTATTTGTGTACTTCGCAATTAATATATTTGGATTTTTACAATATTTTTAAATTGTTGGTAGGAAAAAAATATATCCAATAAAAATTCTTGAAACTATTGACCAATAATAAAAATAAAGATTCACAAAAAAAAAATTATATCACCACAAGTTTTCACTAAATATATTATTAAGTTTATTAATTAAATGGAAACGTTAAATCTAAAATATAATCCAACTGGAAAAACAAACATTGAATTTGAACACATAAATGTCAATTACTGTGCCACCATAAGTTGAACTTAGCAAGTCAAGTCCTAAGAACATCTAACCAAAGATACAAAACTTGAAGGAGTGAATCAACAAGACTTTTAATGTTGTATATATCTCACAGATTTCTTACCTATGGACATATTTACAGAGCTTGAGAATCCATAATTTTTCATGCATCTAGAAGACAAATATATATATTTGATTGTGGCTACGCTCATCTCAGGACTCGTCTTGGTCTGGTCTTCGACTCTGAATATCTTTCGTTAAGCGTTTGGTTTCGTTATTTATGCACTTGGTACCAGTGAGCACATGACCATTGTCATTGAACATCAGTGTAGGAATCTAATCTCATGTTATTTGTAGTTTAGGCTTCACATCTATAGACATGGTTTATTAGGTTTCAACCCATCAACTATGAAGAGGTCTTCTTCAAATTTGGTCATCTCACTTCTGTTTGGATTCAAGAGAGGAAAAAGTAAACAACATCAAGATGATGAACACATAACAGAACGATTTGTCGAAACTTAAAACCATTTTTATTAACCAGTTGCTTCCCAGTGACAGATTCATGAACACTAAAAAGGCATATCTCGAGTCATTTCCATACAAATGCATACCCTTAAAACCACACAAATCCGTAGAACCAAACTGGTAATAACAACTAAAAAAGACCGCTCAAATAACAATTTGCATCATTACCAAATACGCGAATCCGAACTTAGAAAAGTTCAGTTTCCTTGTGGGTATGGATCACACAGTCAGACAGTGGGTAAGCCACACAAGTCAAAACATAATTCTTCTCCAAGTGGTTATCCTCCAAAAACGAACCATCCGACTGATCAACATTCCCCGACACAATCTGACCCGCGCAAGTCGAACAAGCACCGGCTCTGCAAGAGTAAGGCAAGTCAACTCCAGCTTCCTCAGCTGCATCCAATATGTATTGGTCGTCTTGAACCTCAAACTCATCTTCTTGACCATCAGGTCCCAAGAGCTTGACCTTGTATACAGCTGACATCGTGGCACCAGAATTCGCCGAGCACTTCAAACCAAAAGATCTCGAAACCTTGTTGGTTGATCCAACTGATAAGTTGTAGCTCTTATTAGTAATAAGCTTGTTAGTCGCCTGACTTCCAAGAACCGCCTTAGTCATACTAGTCGAGGAGATTCGCACAGTCGCCATTCTTTAAAACTTCACCTGGATTCACAAAACAGTTCAATGTTTGTTGCAACAAACTAAGAACAACACATAGTAACAAGATCTCTACAACACTTATTTTTGAGAATGTGCATCACAAGTTGCAATGGAAACAAGAACCAAGATAACAAATCTGTTTCCCAATAAGCAAATCATGAAATTAACTATATGGAGCGTAATGAGAAGATTCAAGCATAAAGCTATATTAGACCTTCACTCGATGCTCCAAGACTAATAACATAACTAATTATCATCAAATCAAACTCTAAAACACGTCAAAAGACTTAACAACTCACTAATCAAACTCTAAACACATCAAAAGAAGAGATTAACAAAATCAGAAAAAAAATTAAAACGATGATTAGATTAGAATCTGTATAGGAACAATCCAAGATCAAATCGGTCATTATCATCAGATAACGAAACAAACGAAATCGAAAGATATTTTTGAAATTTGTTTGTTTGTCCCAACGAAGAAGTCAATAAAGAAAAAAGACAAGGATGATCCATCAGATCAAAAAGTAAAAGAGAACACACCTGAAACAAAACATTATCAAAGTCAACAAATCTGAAACTTACCTGAGAGAGAGATTGAGATTGAGAGAGGAGGCGGAGAGTGCGAGAGAGAGAGAGAGAGAGAGGGTTGGTGGAGAGGTTTGAGAGACGAGAGGTGAAAGCAAAATATATATTTATATATAAAAAGGGGAAGGAAGTGTGGCTTTTGGAAGGCCGTGACGGCCCATCTTGTGCCACCTGACCTGACCTGAGTCGGCTTCATAATTGTTTACTCTTTTTATTTTCATTTTCTACTATTTTAGATTTAAATTATGTAAACATATATTTATCTAGACAATTGTATAACATTAAAAAAAATCTAAGGTATATATCTCTTTAAAAAATAATAATTATATACTTAAATATGATTACTTTTGTGAAGAACTGATGATTTATATTTTTTACTCGTTTACTATTTTTATTTTTAATTAAGATTAAGATTAAGATTAAGATTAAGATTAAGATTAAAATGATGTATTTATCTAGGGAATCATATCAAATAAAATTAAATATTTAGGTATTTATCTCTTTTAAGAATAATTATATATTTTTTAAATGATTAGTTTTGTGAAGATTAGATTATTTATAATATGGTAATTTTTATCACCGTAGTGAAATTAATAAAATATAGTTACAATATATGTCATATTGATATGAAACTTTTCTGATATTTAATATTTAGATGTGTACCTGAAAATAAAAACTGAAAAACAGAACTATTTGTGTTTGGATTTCTAAATTTACTAAAATCCGTAATTGAATCAACATCCTAAATAAATAAAAATATATTGCTCGAAGAAATTTGGATTAATTTTTGTTCTTGTATAAAGTAAATGATTTATCATACATGAATATTTATTGATAGTTGGAAAATACTAATTCTTTGTAAATTATCTTTTTATTTAATTAAAGTTAACATAGTGATAGAAAAACAAATATATTTTAATTCAACAATTGTTCCATTTTGTTATTTTATTTTGTTTGTTGTTCTTTTTGCATTATTTGTATGTTGACAACAACAGAAATATTCATTACATTAGATTCTAGAGAGTAACACGGAAACGACACTAACAACTCACAAGTACAAAGTTACAAATCTCTCTATATATATTAGAAATCGTGAAAACTAGCTAAAACTAGTAATATAGAAGTATACACACTTACGTTGCGTAATGGCTTTTTGTTGATGGATGAGTGAGACCAAAGGTCAAAAACTTCGGCAATTTTCACAAATCTTACAACGAACGGGCGCCCCTTGACCGACTCCATTGGACGTATACGCAATGCAACGCTTATTTAGGACCTACCCTAGAGATTACACTGTTGGTTCTTATTTTTCTAATCATCTCTCTAATTATACCATTATGTCGACATAAAGCGACGAAACTTAGAATTATTATTTGGTACTATCTTTCGTTTCTTCTAATGTCTAGTAATGAAAAGTTTTACCACCATTAACATCCATAAATATTCATCTAAGTAAACCACTATTTGTTGGGACACAAATCCATATCGGTAAACTAACTTTATTTATTATTGTGATATAAACAAACTAGTATTAGCTTATTAGGCCATCTTTAACGATATAATCGATTGGGTTTTAGGTCAATATTATAAGTCCAAAATAATTGTACAGTAGATTGAGAAAAGATATCCGATTTATAGTTAAAAAAATTTTGTTGGGACATCTTTTGCCACGTGTAATTCTGTAAGTGATTAGAGCATTGTAAAAAGAAAAAATATTTTTCATAAAAAATGTGAAAAAAACATTTTTTCATTTTCTTCTTCCCTCAAATGATTAACAAAGTTTTTAAACTTTGTATCAGTTTAATATAATGTTTGTGTGCTTTAATAAATATGTTTGTAGTTTTTTATGTTTTTATTTTCACTTTATTTTTTCTTTTTAAAATAATTTTGCATTGTATTTTATGTTTCTTTTTATTTCCAAATCAATTTTATGTTTATTTATATGTTTTTAATTTAAAGTTATTTTTTTATTTTTAAATATTTTAAACTTTTTTACATTATAAGATTATAAGGATGCTCCTAACTTATGCTTAAGGATGCTCCTAGTGCTCTGCACGGACACGGTAGAATGCAATTATGTGACTAACAATTATTGTGTCGAAAATTGTTAGTGGAGATTTTGTCACTCATCGAGAAAGTGGTCTATGCGAAGTGTTTCTTTAAGTTCATCAAGTAATGTTTCAATTGTATAATTAAAAATATGTATATCATTTTCGTTTTTTTTGAAAGAAAACACAAAAAGTAATTAAATCAAATATGTGATATATATATACATATAGAACCCTAATATTATACTTTCAAAATATATATAGGAAAATCATTATACACATCTATATTAGAAAGAATACCCGGAAAAAAAAATTAGCTTAGAGTAAATATAATTAAATTTTTCTACTACAAAAGTATTTTAAAGAAAGACTTTTTATATATGTTGTTTCATATAATTTGTTGAATGTTTTCTTTCTTTTCTTATTCCTCTTTTGTTAATATAGAAATTGAATTTTTAACTTAAAAATTAATTTTTTAGAGAAAACTAAAAAAGAATTAAAATATTTTAGTAGTAGAAAAGTTGACAAAGATATAAGTGGTAAATATGCATATAATAAATACAAATCGTTGTTATACTCTCAAAATGTAAGTTTTTGTTATTTGCTTTCTATTCAAATCTTTATATATAATAGAATGTATTTTTACTTGCTTATCTGTTTTGAGTTTTGTTTCTCAAATTTTCATTCTCAAGTATAATAAGTTCTCTCTTCTTGAAAGATTCAGACTTGTTTAATTTTGAGTGATTAGGTTATTCCTTATTTGCAAGCGAATCATATAAAACCCTTTATATATACGAGTGATTAACCGCACGCTAATCACTTACTCTATACTGAAACTGAGAATTAGAAACAATGATTTTGTTCACAATTGGAATGGTAAATTTTGTTAAGAGATAAGATATCTCAGAAATTTGCTGAGTTAAGAATCAAAGGCATAGAGTTTAGGTGATAATAGAAAAAGATAACTGAAGAGAATATTGCATAAAATATTGTCAACCAAAAACAACTGCTAATATCAATCCAAACCATATCCCAAGAAGCACAGATCTCTGAAACAAAAACACAATGCAAAATTCTGAGATATAAGGAGTAGAGAAGAAGAGAGAGCTCAAAAGATTCTTTGAGGTGGTCCCATGGTGCTCTTCAAGTACAAACACCTTACCTGCAACAGAGATTCAAATCAAAATATAAGATCAGAGAAAGATTAAAACAGAGGGATTAAAGATGTTTTCAGAGGATGTAAAGAGTTTATACGTTTTGCCAGTTCTTCTTCAAGAGGGAGACAAGGAAGTTAACGCTCATCTGCACATTCTGGAAGAGCTGCTTCTCTTCCATGGAAAGGTTACCAACAGCAACACCCATACATAGAACTTTCTTCAACTGGAACTTCACTGTGGCTTTGGTCTCGTTCACCTTTCCTTCCAAAGACTCTTGGTGACTCACTAGTGTTGGGAACTTTCCTGATCATCAATCAAAGACAAAAAGAAAATAATTCAGACAAAAATCTTGAAAATGAGACCATTATACTCAAAAGTAGCTGACTGTTCAATTGAGTTGATGAAGAAACTTGCCTGCCTTGTTAAGACCGGGACCAAGAAGACGAGGAATCTGCTTAATAACAGACTCAGAAGCCAAGAAAGCATGGTACTTCTTGGCGAGCTTCTTAACAAGCTTCTTGTTTTTGTTGAGCTTCTTCAAAGCCTCAACATCCATGTAGTCAAGTCCCATTTTCTCAGCCTACCAAAACAAAACATCAAATACTGTCTTAATCACCAATACAAACCAAAAAACAACACATAAGAATCATTCCAAGACAGAAGTAGAGAGATTTCAATCACCTCCTCAACATGCTGAGCATCTCCAAGCATACAAATCTTCATTTTTGGGCGAGGAATGTGGGGAAGCTTAACAGATCCACTGAAACGCTTATCCTTTTGTGGGTCGTAGTTCTTGAGACCAATCTGAAGCTCAACTGTCTCCACAAAGTTACGTTTCTTCTCATCAGATTTGGTCTTCACTGTAGAAATGGCTTCTCTAAGAGCCTCACTCTGAAGCTTACTATATCACAAACAAACCCATTTCACCAAATCAGATAAAGCAATGTACTTTAACTTTCAATTGAACAATACGAACAAAGCAACATCAACTTCTATGATCCATTGAGCAATGAGCACAATTCAACAATTACAAATTACTCTCTAAGCCATCATATCAAAACTAGCGAGGCACTAATCCTATAGCAATAGAAGCGTAAAGGAATGATTTTTCAAGTACCTCATCTTGAGTTTCTTCTCAGTTCACGAACCTTTGATCCTGTAAACGAAAAAGCAAATCAATCAGAGAAAGACAAAAAGCTAAAATCTTCATTTTTTACTTAGTAATCAGATGAATCAGCAGAAATCGAAAACGTCATAACAAAAAGCTCACGAAATTACAATGAACGAAGAAGACGAAAAGAGAAGTGACGAGACGATGTGTGGAGAGAGACGAACCTGAATGGTGAAGGAAGCGGAAACCCTAGTTATGTTTCAGAGGCGGCTGAAGATTTTATACGAAGGAAGAAGAAAAAATGAAAGGAAGAGACTAAAACCCTAGCTGGATTGATTTCATTTGTAATGGGCCTTTGTTACATTTCTGGGCCGCCTGTGATGATTACTAATTAAGCCCATTTTCAATATAGCTGTGTTTTGTTGTTGTCATACACAATCGAAATTATGGGACATGTTAAGTATTAAGTTTTTATCAAACAAAAACATGATCACTTGGCTCATTCTTAAAACTGTTGAGGTTATTTTATTTACGTTTATGAGATTTGTTTTGATAAAAATTTATGCATTAGAGCTTTTGATAAACAAAAACCATAGTTGGAATATAAAGGATGATTCTGATTGAGGAGATGAAAAAAGATTCATGAGACCATGTGTCAAGCCATGGCCACTACAAGAAAATAGCTTAGAACGGACGGACAAATCTGTCTGTAATTCGTCGAAAACAGTTTTAACCCACGGATTACCGACGAATATGTCCGTCGGTAAAACAAATCCATCACTAAACCAACGAGTACCGATAAAAATAATTTCGTCAAAATTTGATCGGTTTTCCGTCGGTAATTACCATAATTACCACGGATTTAAATCCATCGGTATTTCCGTCGGTTACATCCTTGTTTTCTTGTAGTGAAACCTAAGTAACAACATTCAAGAATCATTCTCGATAGACATGAACACAAAAACACAACTTGAATTTTATTAATCTCCTCAACATGCTAACTGAGCATCTCTCCAGACATATGCATATCTTCATTTCTTGACAGGAATGTTTAGGAGCTTAACAGATCCATTGAAACACTTCTCTTTTGTTGGTTCACAGTTCTTCATACCACTCTGACACTCCATTGTCTCTACAAAGTTACACTTCTTCTCCTCAGATTTGTCTTTGATAGTTGTAGTGGCTTCTCTAAGAGCCTCACTCTGAAGCTTCACTACTGTCTCCTTAAAGTTATGTTTCTTCTCCTCATTAGATTTTCTCCTAATAACTGTAATGGCTTCTTCAATAGCCTCACTTTGAAGCTTCCTATATACAAACCCATTCCATTGGACAATAAGGTCGAAAACTATGATTACTCAATAACATATCAATCTTAGTATGATTATGTTAAGATTAACTAAAACTATAGCAATAGAGATGTACATATAAAAATTGGAAGAAGCGTATCTTTCAAGAAGTACCTCACATTGAGTTTCCTCTCCTCACATGTACGCCTGATACAAGCAATGGCTTCTCTAATAGCCTCACTATTAAGTTTACTATACAATGAACAAACCCATTTCTCAGTTGTTTATATAATCCATATATAGAGCAATAATACAACCACAATTAGCAAAATTAGCAAAATTAGCAAACACTAATACTACTCTAGCAATAGAGATCTATATGAAAACTGGTGGAAGCGTAAAGGAAATATTTTAAAAGTACCTCATCTTGAGTTTTCTACTCAGCTCACGAATCTCTGATCCTTGGAAACCAGAAACAGAACAATAAGTCGAAAGGAGAAGTGATGATGTCGGAGAGAGACAAATCTGTAAGGTGAAGTGGTGAAGAAAGGGGAAGCCCTAATCTAGGTAATTAATTAGTTTTTTCTTTCATTTAAAAGTAATCTTTCTGTATTAACTAGATTAGGACACTCGACATACGGGTTTTTTTTAAAAAAAAATATAAATTAATTTCACAAAAAGGTTAAATTAAAAGTTTTATTGTATATGAAATATAAAATTTATCTTTAGGAAATAAAAATAAATATTTAGTCTCAGACATAGTTATTAATATATATATATATATATATATATATATGGGTTTTGGTTTTATATTTTGTCAAAGTCACTTTCCTGAAGATCAAAATCGTTTACTTCTTATTTGTGACTTTACCAAAAGTTAGTTACACTGATTTTTGCATTTCTATATTTAAAATTAGTAACATTATTATAATATTTTATTCTATTTAAATTATAATTCATTAGTACTTTCGCCAAATATTTAGCATTATTACTAGTCAAATATTAAACATATGGTTTCTCAATCTCGAATAAAATATAATTACATAACATTTTCAAATAATATTTTACATAAAACCACAAATCATGCAATCATCTTATTTACATTAACTTACAAGAAAAAAAATGTTTTACCCAAAAAAATATGATTTTACACCCAATCATAATTTAATGTTGAAGCATTCTCTTTACCACCAACTTAAACATATCTACATAAACGCATCAAACCAACTAGTCTATGCTTTGTTATTATTTATTTTATGAATTTTGCATAATTTCTTTATTTAATCAGTAAAATTGTTGACACAAAAAAAAATTTCGAACGGAAGATAATGGAATGTATTAATTCTTCTAATTTATTCCATTTTAAATTCTTCTTCCCATTTACTTGATTGTACATTTTTTTACCTATGACGATGAAATGACTAAAAAATGTAAAGAAGAAAAATTAGTCATGTGGACCGAATCAGATGGAATCAGATATTTGAAGAGTGTGAGTCTCTGAGACCATCTTAATTCTAAACACACATGCCATATAATATACATTATTTTGTCGTTGATCGTTTTTATACTCTTACGTTGTATTAACAATTTGATATGCACGAAACTTGTATTATCTGTACTTTTGTTCTCCAACATTAATAGTTGCAGCAAATTACGAGACAATGTACGTTAAAGAACAACGAGCTACCGAATACGTGGTGAGTATGAGACTAATAATTACATTTTTTTTTCGCCTCTGATTCCAAAACTGTTGAGTTGACAACATACAAAACTATACATGACATACTTGACTATAAGTACCAAAATGAACAATCAGGTAATTCAGAAGCATACGCATGGTGACTCACACTCAGAGGATGCGTAGCTGATTGGCCTTTATGGCATTGACAATATTGTCTAGATTGACTCTACTTAGGATAGGTTGAAGAAACTCAAATAAAATACAAATTAATATTTGAAATTTTAATCCCACCGTTAAATCTCAAGCCATCAGTAAAATAAACCTTGTCATCAAATTACAGCCCGATCGGGTTACGTTTGCATAAGACCTCCAACTTTTTTTCTACTAGCAATATAATTACAATTTTTCCCATATTAATCTATATAATCCAAATACTAATGTGCATATTTGATTATGATAAACTACTTATAAATTATAATTTATAATATAGACAATCATACAATCTCCAAGATAGATAAAAAGTACGTGAATAAAAGTTCTTTGGGAAATCAATATATTATAATTTTATAATATAGACAATCATATTGATTTCCCAAAGAACCTTTACTTACGTGCTTTTTATCTATCTTGGAGATTATGCGAATGTTTAGGTACATTAGACACGAAAACTTCCTCATTATTTTCCCTTATTCCATCATCAAAATTCAGAGAGTAACTCGAAGAATCATATCGGAACATGATTCCGTTACTTGTCGTCGAACGCTTTCTAGTTTCACGTTTCGGCTTTCCACACCAATTTCCTATTTACTAATGTTGCACTTTCGTTAGAATTATGGTTCTGTCTTGACGTAATTAAACCTCTTTCTAATTGTTCGAATTCGTCAATGCTTATGGCCTCTATACCAATTAGTTCTAAGGATGATACGACTACTTGTGTAGTTGGGAGAGAAGCGTCAACGTTACGAGCAAACCTTAAAATTTTATGAGAAAATGATCTCATCTAGTTAATGGTTTTGCGTGTGCTCATTAATAAATATTGCATGCGTTATTGGATCATGACACAATTATTACTACGCTGTGGAAAATGATCATGATCTTATATTATTCAATTATCATTTACAAGATTTTGGCACGTGTATACAATAATAATAAAAAAAGTTACAAAATTTAACCACATAATCGTGTATAAGATTAATCTTTTAAAAAAAATATTTACTAAGAAACTAAAGATTCTTAAAGCAAAACTTAGCTCTTTATTAAGAATATTTTACTAAGTTTTTTTTTTGGGCAAAGAAACTATACGTAAGTTAATATCAAATTTGCCACATTAAAATATATATGCAAAGATTTTCATTAACAAATTTATAGTATAACTAAAATAGCAAAAAAAAAATGATAAAAATGAGAGGGTATTTATCCAATAGCGACAAACTATGTGATTAGAATTAATAAGATTGTGATATGATTTCACTAGTTTATTGGAATTTGACATGTGTCAACATAATACATTTTAAAAAAGATTAATAAAAAAATCTAATATAAATCAATGTAAAATACCTTTTTTTGGTAAAAAATCAATGTAAAATACCTTTGAAAGAGAAAGAAAAAAAACTAAAATTAATATTGCATTTTGTGAATTTTAATTAGAATAAAACAATCTATGTTGATCCAACCTACGTCATGATAATAATAAATGTAGATTCGAGATTTCGGAATCAAGGCTTGAATATTTTACGAGAGGTGCTAGCCAAGATGTAGTTGAGCATAGCAATAAACTTTTTTGTTTTTGTTTGGAGTAAACTTAAGTAAACACCTTTAATTAACAAGTTCGTGAAAACATGTAATAACACTCATGAAATATCTACCTATATATATAATATATCTGATGCATAATTAGGGAAACGATATGTGAATGGATTGTGAGAACAATCCTAATTGGGAATGGTTTGTGCATAAGCTGGGTCGGGTCATAAATTTTGGTTAGTTAAACCGATCGGTCCTGGTTTTTGGTTCTGATGAGTCAACGTTGGGTCAATGCCGGAGTAAATCGTCCGGTAAACTGAGATTTATGTGTCGGGTATTGAGCACATGACATCATATACTTCGTACATGTCGCCATGTCATACATATACTTGACGTTGCTAAGTATCCATTCTTATATTTGGTATGTGTAGCCATGTATTTCTCGATACTTCAGGTAGCTGACAATCTTTTTTCCTTAAAAAAAACGGCAAGAAACCATGTTGCATGCCCAATGCTAATAGTATAATTTGAATTCTCGTTTAAACTTACTTAACATTTGCTTAGTTTGTCTAAATTCAGTGGTTACTCACTGAAAAACATTCAGTCCAGAGAATAAAACTTAAACTAATTCATTATCTCGACGACTTAAACTAACATATTTTGTGTGTTTTTTCTTTTCTTGATAAAGGACTTAAACTCACATTGTATCTTTGTGGTTATAACTTCTTATTTACTAAAACGTCACATTAATTAAGCGTGTACCTGTTGATATATAATGAATCAATCCATGGTCGCAATGACTATTAACCTCCATGCACGACAAAATTATTTATATGCATTCACCAATTTGTTAATTACTTCGAGAATTAAATTTATAGCTTCTAACCATTTGTTATAATATTTTGTAGAAAATTTCGGTTTTATGGACGGTGATCCTGTCGACAAATTAATCACGTTGGTGCAAAAACGTGTCAGTAATGCCTCAATGTATTTATATATTTATGTGAATATATAATGTCTCTTTTCTACAAAACACTGAAAAAACTATATAATAAACATTCTAATTTTTACGAAGCCACCAATTAACGGTTCTAGCCGATGTTCTTGACTAGCTTTTTTAAATTGGTTATCACTTTTAAATTGGTTCTAGCCTATGTGAATCATGTGTCTTTTAAATTGGTTCTAGCCTATTCTAATTTTTAACGAAGTCACGAACTAATTAACGGCTCTAGGCGATGTTCTTGACGAGCTTTAAATTGTTTTTTTCACTATATACCTAATGAAGAAAAAAAAGAGATGTTCTCTTACAGGACATGCGAATAAGACAGTGTATGACATATTGACATGTTATGCTTAATTTTTTTAATATTTATGTTTAGTGTTTCACAGATTGTTATGGGTGCATATGCTAAAGTAAAGATAAAATCACGATCACATGCAAAGTACACTTGAAACGTGTAACCTGAGGACAGTTAGATTGGAATCAGGGTTTCTATAAGTGGAAACCCAGATCTTGTTTTTTCCCTTCTTCATAGTTTATTTATGGAAAAGGAAAGAAACTAATAAAGAAAGGTGTGTGACAGAAGAAGTGATTTTTTTTTTTATATAATTTTTCTTTCTATCAAAGTGACCTTTCACAAGTTGTGAAGTGACCTTTCACAATTTGTCAGCCTTTACCTTTGTATGTGTGGGAAACGTATTGGTGGGTGTTGTGGGTCGCCAACATTAAAATTTCCAAAAATGGTAAGTCCAAAGAATAACACTTAGTTGTTTTGGGATATATTCTTTTGCAATACATCCCACACACCTAACAGAGAATATATTTTTCTCCTCATTACTCCAATAATTTAATACTTTTGTAGAAATGTTTTAGTTTCCAATTACTCCTATTGCAAAAGCGACGTTGAGTTTTGTAACCAGAATATATGACACTTTGAAATTTCTTTATTCGTAGACAAAAGTAGGAAACACACTAAGCAGCCAAAGCTGTGATTCATGGTCGACACTGTCACTTGGAATAAATAATAAAAAAAGGTTCTTGTTGGTTCTTTTTTTTATAACATTTCTCTGATGACTAAGTTAACTGAATAATTTTCATGCATGTATATATGTGTTCTATTTATGCGTACAGTCCAAAAAAGAATATAATTAAGGAATTTATTTAAGGACCATATTGGTAAATCTGCTGCCACTTCTCATCCACTCATAGGTTCGACTTTGTTTTTAAAAAGAGAAAAATTTTAAGAACAAATTCTCTAAGTAGTGCTAAAGAAGGATACTTAAAAATTCATATCAAAATCAAGACCAAGAGACTTATGATACTGATGTTTTTAGCTACATAGAGAATAGTTAAATTATATAGCCAGTACTATAAGAAAAACAGCGAAGTTTTCCGTAGGAAATTTTTCATACCATTTATTTTGTTGGAATTTCGGTAGGATATCGACATGTTTTCTTGTAGTGCAGGTTAATTTTTCGATAATTCGGTCACAAAAATTAAATTTAGATGTTTCGAGACTAGCTTCATTCTTTTGAATGGAAATATTCTCAAATACACTGAAAAAAAAAATCAATGTAATTTGTTGGGTTAAAAACTTTTTTTTGTTGTTAAATGTTACAGCCTAAATGCTGAACTATTGACCCTACTCGTTCGGATGGGTGTTCACCCCAAAGTGTTCCCGAACTGCATGCATATTAAGTTGTCGAGATAGGCGTCTAGACGGTAACTAAGCGCTTAACGCCTAGGAAACCGCTTAAACCGATTTTAAGAACAATGACATTTATATATATGTACATGTTTAATTTCATTATAGAAATGTATGTCACTTATAATTTAAGAACTATGACATTTATATACATGTACATGTTTCATTATATAATTTTTAGTATAGTGATTTGGTTTTAGCAGAAATATTTTAGTTTGCAATATATGTCCCTTTAGCTTGTAGTAGAAAACAGCTACATATTTTTCATCTGGACACCTATTGAAACTAGAAAACAAGAGACCGACGACAAAAAAAAAAAGACGACAAAAAAAAAAAGAAAACAAGAGACCATTCTTTATTTTCCTCTAGCAGAGATACTCCTAGTTACTTTTACGACGTATGGCGATGGTTTCTTAAAGAAGTGTAGAATAAAACTTCAATTAAAAAAAAAAAAATATGATCTAGAACATTAGTCCTTTTAACGTACTAGAATTGAAAATTTCAGATAGGAAAAAAGAAAAAGAAAAAGCTAAATTCCCCAATGCCACCAGTTAATGCCTTCGTTCTGTTTAAATAATGGCTAGAGAAGAAAATGGCGCATATGACATTTCTCTTTCTCTTAATTATTTTAACACAAAATTTATTAATATATTTTTAGAATAAAACTTTTAATTTATCATTTATAAGATTTTTCTTTTAACATAACTTCAAAAACCTAATATTAGATTTATAAATTTCAAATAAAGACAAAACTGCGCGATTCTATAATAAATATATATATATATATATTTACTTATTCATTATAACCACATTTCACTTTATCAACAATTGTATCACATTTTTCCATTCAAGTCATAGTGATGATTTTGGTGATGATTTTTTTACTATATCTGTACTTATATTTATACTAAAGTGATAATTTTTGTTACCCAATATTTTTTTTTTCTTTTCTTCCTTTTTCTTCTAGAAAAAAATATTTTAATTTCTTTTAAAGAAACAAATTTTTTTTTTCTTTTTTTAAAGTATATAATTTGTTATGTAAATTCATTTTTGGTAACATATAATTACATAAAAACATTTCTCCTCAACCTAATATTTTTAAATCTTATTAAGAATCAGTGAGTTTTATTTTTTATAGAATCATAAAGTACGAAAAAGGAAAAAAGTACCTTATAAACATATACAAAAATAATATATTTCTTCCAATGAAAAAATTAATAATTAATGCTACTTAATACCCAACTTAAACAATAAATATCATTTTATTTTTGGTGTATGATGATCAATGTACGTAGATTAAAAAACGTTTCCTTTTTATTTGTGTGTGTCTAAAGCATCTGTATTAACAAAAAAGAAAAGAAATATATTCCTTGGATCTACACATCAAATCAAATGCATTACAGCCATTTAAGTTCCTCTCTAAAACTCTTATAAATACCATGCTCATATGATCTCACTTTATGCTTCATCAAAATCAACACATACAAAACATATCCCTCCCAAAGAAGACCTAAGGCAAGCCCAAGCTTGTCTCTCCCCACACCAACAACACACAACAACAAATCTCACCATACTCAAAACACTATTTCTTTGATTCTTTTGATCCATACTTAGAGAGATTCTTTATTTCTTCTTCTAAACTCTATAACCAACCAAGCAATCGAGATGGCGCGGATATCGTCAGACCCGCTTATGGTCGGGAGAGTGATCGGAGATGTCGTAGACAATTGTTTGCAGGCAGTGAAAATGACAGTGACTTATAACTCTGACAAGCAAGTCTACAATGGCCATGAACTTTTCCCTTCTGTTGTTACAAACAAACCTAAGGTTGAAGTTCATGGTGGTGACATGAGATCATTCTTCACTTTGGTACGCATTGCTTTCATTGTATATTTACATAAATCATATATGATATATTCATAGATAACATAAAATTTAAATATATGGTTAGCTATGTGATTGATTTTTAATCTTTATGTTATAAATTAATTATTTATATTATCATCATCTGCAGAAGGAACTAGTTTTGTGTCAGATACATACGTGTAATATATGTGTTATCTATGTAATATTGGATGTGTCACGTGTATTCACATATTATCGAATATTTCAAAACAGGTCATGACTGATCCTGATGTTCCTGGACCTAGTGATCCTTATCTGAGAGAGCACTTGCACTGGTAAACTAAATTTGTTCCTTTTAAATTTTTATTTAAAGATTAACAAAAGAAGCAAATTAAACTGTTAATAAGAGACATATGATATTACATAACATAACATTTTCTTGCAATGACTAATCTCAGGATTGTTACTGATATCCCTGGGACGACTGATGTATCATTTGGTAAGTCCTATACACATATCCATAGATATAAAGTTTCATTACCTGGGTTCGAATAATATTGGCCACGGAAGTTGGAGATTTAACATGGTTTCTTCCGGCCCCAAGATATTAGTCTTCGGGACTAGAATTTTTTCCGGTCCCAAAATATTAATTTTTGGGCCTAGAAAACATTTGGGATCACTCCTGAGTTATTAAAAAAATAAAAATTTCATTACCGTTTATGTTTTCAAAGATTTTTTAATATAAGGTTATTACAAAAACAGGAAAAGAGAGGATCGGGTACGAGATGCCTAGGCCAAACATAGGGATACATCGCTTTGTGTATCTATTGTTCAAGCAGAACCGTAGAGGAAGTGTTGTGTCTGTGCCATCGTACAGAGACCAGTTCAGCACTCGAGAGTTCGCGCATGCGAACGATCTTGGCCTCCCCGTCGCGGCTGTTTTCTTTAACTGTCAGCGTGAGACCGCCGCTAGACGCCGTTGATGAATGATGACTTGCACCAGTACTTGCCGTAACTAATTCTGGCTGGACAATGTGTGTGTTGTTACATGCATTATTCTATATTTTAGTTACGGGAAACAGCTTTCTCTATCGTATTTTATATGTGTATTTGTTATGAACTATTTGTGATATTGAATAAACTTGGCTTATAATTTATCTCATGGTTTATACTTCATAAAGATGGATGGATGGTTTCTAGTATTTAATTTTCAATGTAACTAAAACTGATATTATTTTTTTATAAAGCTATATACTGGTAGATTTTCCAAAATAATAAATGAATTAAAGGGATATTATATTTTAGATGTTAAATTTTAGGCTTTCATCATAAAGTTTCTAGTATTTACTTTTCAATGTAATTATAACTGATATTATTTATTATTGGTGGATGGTTTATAGTATTTTATTTTTAATGTAACTAAAACTGATATTATTTATTATCATCAAAATTATTTATATAGCTGTAGTGGTATATTTTCCAAAAATAATAAATGAAATATAAAGGGGTATTATATATTAGATGTTAAATTTAGGCTTTCATCATATAGTTTCTAGTATTTAATTTTCAATGTAATTAAAACTGATATTATTTATTATCATCAAAATTATTTATATAGCTGTAGTGGTAGATTTTCCAAAAATAATAAATGAATTTAAAGGTTATTATATATTAGATGTTAAATTTAGGCTTTCATCATAAAGTTGCATGTGAAGGATCATATATATATATATATATATGTATGTATATATATTACATCTATTTACTCATATTACTTCCTATCTACACAAAAATCTTATCATTCAATTTGGCCATCTTTGTTACGGCTATATTGGTGTGAAAGATGTATGGGTATCGGTGTAGAACCTCTTTGATTATTCAAAAAAAATAATATTTCTCTTTGTTGCATCAGAACTGGAGAGCAAAGTAAAGAGAATCAAACTGTGTTCCTTGTAAATTGTAACAGTTAGAACCACAGCTAATTAATAAGAGTCGTCTTGAGTATAAATAGAATACTATTTGAATTAATTTATCTGATGACACTGTCTCAAGCTTATTGTGAGATCACCATTTCATTATTTAATTCCATCAGTTTGATTGTTTTTCTGTTCTTCAGCCAATGGATCGATGGAGGATATATAGTCTCTGATATTAGACTCATCATTGAATGTTACTTCAGATCCCTTGTTTTAGGTTCAATGTTAAGAACAAAAAAATGAGAAATATACAACCTAAAGAACTAAACTATTGTTTATTATCATTACACTATGAACTTTCAACTCAAAACAAATTAGCAGTGAGTTGCTTGACCATATTTCATATATCAATTAAAATCTCACTCAACTTTCAATAATTTAATATCTATTGTTTTCTTTCTCGAGATAATGATTTTTCTAGCCATTGATTTCGTTATGTTCAGGCATGGATCAGTAGGTTAGCTAATTAGCAATGAGTAGATTGAGTTGAGAATTGGCGGATAGAATTTTATATCATGTTAGATTATGTATTTTTACTCAAAACCAATAAATAATGAGTGGATTGACCTATATTTTATATATATCACTTAAGATCCTACTCAACCTCCAATGTAGGATAATACTCGGGTTCTGATGATTTGGTTATATGGTTTTAGCAATAATGTTTGAGATGAAGTGATGATTTGGTTATATGTTGCAAGCCACTATTATTTCTACTGCAATGTATGTTATGATGTTCACCCGATTGGACATATGTTATGTTGTTGGTCTGGTAAGACTCAAATGAGGAATGGAAATAATATTTTGCTCTGTAACATAAGTATGATTCCAGCCGATTGGCTCGCTTGCTACACCTGCCACGAACGCAATATCCACCACTCATCCTCGGCCATAAGCGACGGATCAACCTCGCAAATATGGTGATGTAGTTCCTTCTGCTGTACTTTTAAGGATCATAATTAGTATGAATGAGCCATTCGTAACAACATAATTAAAAGGTTCTGTAATATGTTATTTTTTTCAAGTTCTAAACAAATCTTTTATTTAATTGGTCTGATACAAAGACAACACACAGATACAATAAGTCAAAAAAATTTGATAAAAGAAATTTCAAACATACAACAAAACAGTATTTAAAATCCAAGTAAAGCATTGTTGTTTTTGTTGTTATAAGACATCCCCAGATTCATCTCTGCAACTTCAGAACTCGTCACTAAATCGAAGATTTCATCAAGACTAAACTCTTGATTCACAGTTACATCATCTTGATCAAAGCATAGACTTGAAGAACACGGTTGATGAATTAGGGTTTGCTCTTGACAAGTTACGTGTGAGACACCCTTCTCCTTCTCCACGTCCTCACGATCTCTTCGCTTATTTTCCAACTCCTTCAGATCGTTTAACATCTTCTTCATTGAATCAATCACCTCTCCCAACTCCTCCTGGTCCTCTGTATCGACAAGACTCTCGTCTTCCCACCAAAACCCTAACTTTTCATCATCATCATCCTCATCCCGAGGAGGAGTCTGATCCGTGAGGAAAGCTGCGACAACACTATCGACAGAGGAGTGACCAAAACTGTAGAAAGAGGCGTGTGAATTTGAAGAAACCGGAGTCGTTAAGATCGCCATCTGTGTGTCGGAGAGAAGACAAAGCTCCGAGGCTTTGCTGTAAAGACCCGTACGACGTTTTGAGAAAGTAACCCCTCGTGGATCTTTCTCCCTTATCTTCTTTATATCAATCTTCCTCTTCAACCCAACCATTGTGATGTAGTTTTCTCAATTTCACAGACAAAGAGAAAAGAGACAAGACTAAAAGATTGTGTTTGCTTGTTGCGAAAGAATGTGATTATGGAACTGATCACTCTGTAAATTCTAATCCGATATATATAGACTTAAGCCTAAACTCTGAACATTTTTTCCTTTTTTCTGACTGCTAATCAGTAATTAAACAATCGATTTTTTTTCTTTCTGATAATCCCTTGATAATTAAAGTAATAAACGAACCAAGACCGGTTCAATTAACTGGTTTAGTGTAATATATCGGTAATCTCTATAATCATAGAATCATAGCTATTTATGTTTTTTCCCCTTAGCATGGTATCATCAAAAAGATTGAGTAATGTCACTGAATAAAGCAATTGTGAACACAGTGTACTCCATAATTTCCACACTAGAGGAACCTACAGTACAAAAGAAGGGGGTGAAGAAAGCCTGTTCTTCCTATTTGAACACTAATATGTGCTAGGAGGGTTTAAAATCACATTGGGGTATAAACAGCATACTTCTGGATTGACTTCAACAAGTAAATCTGAAGCTTTCAGATAAATTAAATCAATCTACCTATGACAACTATACTAATGACATCAGTACTGGGTCGAATAGAAGCCGCCTTGAACATAGCAGTATCAACAGCATATGGTATCATAAAAACCTTTGTGGGGGACAATCCAGACCTTAGAACCTTATTTTCCTTGCTCGTGTGTGAAACACAAATTGCCTGGTCTATATCAGCTAAACTGAACTGTAAAACCTTGCTCATGTGAATACTCCCCATATCAGCAAACTCATACAAGGAATGTTCTGTGAACACAACTTATAGCACATTGTCCTGGCATGCATCAGAGCGTAGACAAAGCTTGATGTCCATAAACTACCGTGATTTTCTTGCGACTAAGTATGGTCCTTACAATGGGAAGGGAAGTGTTCCATAAACCGTCGGAAATGTGGTCTGCATAACAAAAGGTTTCCAAGGTACATAATATACTTTGAGTCCTTGAGTCCACCAGTCATGTATCTAACTCCAGAGCAGTTCCCAATGGCATGTCTCATAACTACCACCTGCAACAAAGGCAACAATATCTCAAACCAATGCCCAAAAGAAGAGAAGAATGGGATTTTGGCCCAAGCTCCAATAACACACTATGCTACATTACTAGATTACAGCTATTAATAATGAAACTGAAACTTCAGTCTAATCACATACCTATTGAACTAGCATAGAAGGGCTTTGAGAATTTGATATCGCCATAGCTAAAAACGCAAAAAGACATGAACTTTTGGATCTCACACTAATCTTTTGACTGATGCTATAGAAGACACAAAAGCACGAAACAAGAAAAGTATGCAAATTTGGCACAAGCTCCTACCACATAATGCTACATTACTTGATTATAGCTATCAATGATAAAGGCTGAAACTTGAATTTTAATCACATCATATCTAAGTAGCATAAAAGGTTTTTGAACCCTTTTTCCCATCAGATGATCAAAATCGACTTCTCTATAGCCAAAAACAAAAAAAAGGTATGAACTTTAGATACTGACCTTGTGACCAAAGCTTTAACAAGCATTGACAGAGATATAAAACCCTAAGCTTTAGTGGTTCTGCAACTCCTGTAACTCCACTGGCAACCTAGTTTTACCCTAATTAGTCTTTTGATCTCTTCCTCTGTTTCTTTCCCGGAAGCTGATAGGGAGCTACAGCGTCAGTAACACGGCGGACTCCACGGAGAAGAGTCCGATCATTTTAGTCCTCTCAAAACGAGGGTTTGACTCCTATCAGGTTTGGGAAGCGATTTTAAATATGTATGATCGGAAAGATTCGATTTTGCCGATGGAGAAAAATTTGAATTGGGCGATTTTTTTGGGCTAGGACGGTTCGAGAGGGAGAAGAAGAACCCCCTCAGACTTTGCGATTAGTGGAAACAGACGTGAATCTTTGTGTGTGTGTATAAATGCTAAAATCAAAACGACTCTTTTTTTTTTTTTTTGTAAAGGTTCAAGAAAGACTCAATCTTTAAGCTCGTAACCTAACCAAAACAAGTTTTACCATGGTAAAGTCTCATCTCATGACTCAAGCTAAGTAAGGTCTTCATAATTATATTTCAGCTTGTATATTGTCTGATCATTACTTTGTTAGATGTTTGCTAATCAATAATTCAATATAGTGCGTAAACGTGACTTAGAAACCACAATGTTCATCATCTCATATCAAAGTCACCCAATGTTTTGTAGCCGGCCAGAAACTTAGCAGACAAGAAGAGTAGCCAAACCTATAAAAACATCAGAACCATGACCAACCAAACCAAACCCAATTCTACCCATTTCATGATCAAATCTAAACAATGCAAATGTAAAAACCAAACTGAAAGAAATCAAATAAGCTTAAATTTAAAATGACTGATTAATTTTTTTTTACATTGACGCATATGTTTCTTCATGTGTGTGTTTGTTTTCATTCAAACTCACAAACAAAGCAACAAGCAACAAAACAAACAACAAACTCAAATCTTCTCGAGCTTATCCGCTTTCACAATCGGATTCGCCTTAGCAATCTTGTCCTTCCCCACCCGTTTGAAATCAAACGAACACTCATGCTTCTCCGCATACCTATGCGTCCCACAGAAAACAAAACCACACCTACAACGAAACCCCGTGATCCCAACTCGCCGCCGGCAAGTCAAACACCGTTTCGGATCTTGCGGCGGAACCACTTCCTCTTCCTCCTCCACCTCCGTCTCAGCCGCTCGTTTCCCAGTGTTCGTTTCTTTCAGATCGGTTTCAATCGGTGATGATGATGATGATGATGACACAGAAGAGGACGCGACACCACCACCGGAAGAAACAGCGACGGCGGCTAAGGATTGGTTAAGAGCGAGTTTAGCAGAGGATGAGTTTTGTTGTGCATGTTGACCATCTCGAAAACATTTAGAACAGAGATTTTGCGTAGCGGTGCTTCCGAAGAAACCACAATTGTTAGCACATAGTTTTGGTTCTTGAAGTCTGTGTTCTTCCGCCATAACCGGAAAATTTCCAAAAAAAAAAAACAAAAGTAGATCCAAACTCCGGCGAGATTTCTACAACAACAACAAAAAAATCGAAAAGTAAGAAATCCAAAAATCCAGATCTATGCTTCAAAATCTCATGAAAAAAACCATTACCTGATTGAAACGATTCGATTCGAGAAAAAATAAATAAGAAAACGAAGAAGACGGATCTGGTATATATAAAGGAAGAGAATGGTGAGAGAGAGAGAGATCAATGGAAAAGGAAAATAAAAGATGAGAAAGGAAAGAGATAAATGAAGAAATATGGAAAATGAGGCAAGAAAAAGGGAAAGAAAAACTAACGATGAAGCAATCCTTTTATATTATAAGTTTTTTTTTTTTTTTTTTTTGGAAAATTGGCTTTTGGCTGGTTTGGACAATTTGATATGCTGAAGAAGATTCCAGAAGCTCCTACAGTATTCTTTGTCTTTGTTTAAATATTTGTAGTAATAATTTATGCATGTACGGTGTGATTTGGTCATTATGGGGGAGGGACGAACCTAGCTCAGTTTCATTGGGTTGTGCAGAGTTCAATGGCTCTATTTGCCTCTATTTTGCCTCTGGTTAAACCACATTCATCCTCCTTACCAAGACAAGAGTTCAACGGTTCTTTCTTTATAAATGTCTCAAATCTGTCGCTGACCAAATCAATTAGTACTATCTTATTAATTGCGTTTTGATCATTTTTCCGTGATTTTTGTTTTTGCATTAATTATGTTGTGTTTTCTTTTGTTTCAATCCAATGGTTTCACTATTTATAGCCACAAATTTTTGGGATTCTATTTTTTTTACCAATGTTTTTAAACCCGATTCGGATGGTGAACCGGACTAGTTTCCGGGTCATCGGATTGATCGGGTTCAACCACAGGTTAATTAATTAAAATTTATTTATATATTATATAATTTAATGAATATAAAAGTATGAAAGATCATAGCATATTTAACAAAATATAAAGTCTAATAACAATAATAATAAAGTGATTAAAATTTTCAAATCTAGAAAAAATAGAAAAAACAAAACACGCTAATAAAACATCACAAATCAAAACATGAACAATTAGCAATATATATTTAACATCAGATAACCATGAATTTTCAAAATAAAAAGAGAAAAAATTAAAAATAGAAAAATTATGATCAACTACGAAAATTTTTGTGTGGTGATTGAGAAGGTTAAAAAAAGTTTTAAAATAATTAAAATCTTAGATTTTACTTATAATTATTTCAAAATCATAATTTAATTTTTTGACCCATGACCCGGTAAACTGGTTGAACCAACCGGGTCGCCGGTTAATAGCAGGTTTTCTTGAGTTTTTGCGGTTTTGAGATTGCTGGATTTAAGCACTAAATCCAAACCGGAGAAATGTCCGGATCGCGGGTTAACTGGTCGGACCGTCCGGTCCGGGCGTGAAAACACTGCTTTTTACCAACCATCTAATTCTCATTCTAAGCCTTTGTGGTCCGGAGGCTTGTATCATTATAGTCTAACACTTGAATGTCTTTGCTAGAGTGTCATCGTGAACTCAAGACTTCTACAACCATGTCCGGAACCACTGTCTCATGGTTCAACAACGACCACATGTAAAATCTACTGACCTGAGAAAATTTTCCCAACATCTCCTTTGGTGCATAAACCCATTGCGTGACAGAAATAAAGACCAGATATGAAATCAACAGAGGATCTAATTTTAAATTGCTAGTGTCAGAATTCATAGTTTATAATCAAAAGGATGGATAGAAAGCATAACTAATAATCTAGGCATGGTTAAAAAAAACGAGGGTGAATTTTGCGAAAGACTCAACCAACCATACAGGGTTGGTGGTATACATTACAAAACTAGAGGTTGACTGCAACAATGTAAGCATTCCAAGCATCACACTGTTGAAAGTTCTTGACTTGTTCATACTTGATATCACGTCCCGCACCAAACCCATCTGTTCTACGCATTTCGGAAGCATCTGGCATTTCTCTGAGCCAGAAATGGACTGCCTTAAACCCGGCTTCCTCCATACAGTCCTTTATCTCCGGCAATGACCACCTACACACACATGAAAAGAAGACCCAGGAATCACTACTCAAGAACTTAATGTGATTCATTGATCCAAGTACAACAAATTAATATACAATAAGGAAACAAGAAATAACGTCTTTGACCGATATATATCATGCTACTTATCCGCGACACAAGGATAACTACTAACATGAGAACTTAGATATCACCTAGCAACAAGATCTATAACTTCTAAAAGATTTCTTAAGGCTTGTGGGATATGGTGGGTAGCATGTATCCCATTTCGCAGAAATAATGGATGTGGAAACAGACTTAAAGGCCACTTACAGTCTCCAGCTGTATGAAAAAGCATGGCGAATCTTTCTGTTCTGTTTCTGAAGGTGATAGTGCAGACTGATCCTTGTCTTGCGAGTTAAAATGTCAAACTCAGCCTGCTCCCATGTATACTGCCAAATTATATGAAAAATCGTTAGTATTGTCATTGCTAGTAAGTTTCATATATATTGCTCTGACACCCTTTTTCACCTAATAAAGTATAAGAATGAACTTTTACCGTGAAATTTGGGAATTTTCGTTGAAGCTTCAACTGTCCCTCAGCAGAAGCACCTCCATATAAATCCATCACGAAAATACCACCTTTCTTGGACAAAGCTTCAAGTGCATTCTTGAAGTAAGTAACCAATTCCGAGCGTTTGTGGAGACAACAGCAACTAAAATTGAAAGCACACACAATATCCCTCTTCGGCAACGAATCAGGTTCATCTTTCTCAACACTAGGATCAGCCAAATCTTCATCATCACCATCATCCAAACTGAGATTCTGTATCAGCTCGTGGGATTTGGATTTCACTTGCTTAGCCTCAAGAGGGCTCAGCACATTCCCATGTAAAAGCGATATCCTTGAATACACATCAGCACCAAGTTTACTAATGTTGTTATCCATGCACCATTCTAACGCCTCAAGATCAAAATCTAGCCCTATAGCAGTCCGCCTAGTGTCAGTCTTCAGCCACTCCGCACTAATCAAACAATCAAATCATTAGCATCTAAACATTTCTTTTGCCAACTACAGAATCCAAAATAGCCATTTTTAAACCAGCCAAGAAACAAAAAGCTACAACATTTAGTGAAACATTTTTGGGTTTACCTTAACAGAGCAGTGCCACAGAAATCTTCTTGGAAATGGAAAGGCTGCCTTCCACCAATATACATCAAAAAGAACTTCTGCAAGTAACTTATGTCTCCTTTTGGTGACTGCACCAAAACACACATGAGCCAATGTGTTAAAGCTAACAACTTTTTCCTGTTAGAGAGTGAAAGACACTATCTTTTTCGAAAGATTTAACCAAAGAAGTGTCACCAGCCCTTAAAACACACAAAGGTCACAAGAGAGCAGACAATTCAAGTACTTCTAAGCAGACAATTCAATGGAACCTAAAGGCCAAAGCACAGAGTTGCAGTTACCTGTACTGATTGCTGGTAAAGAAGAAACTTTGAAGGCAAATCTGATGACTCGTTTCCTTCGTTATCTTCTACCTTACCGTCTTCCTCAGAATTTTCTTCTTCATCTTCGTCGTCGACGGAGGCAACAACCGGCGGCTCTCGATCGTAGAAATCTTCAGAATCATTCGAAAATTCACCTTTGTGGCGACGTCGATTAGGTTTCTTCTCTCGTTTCCCCATTGTTCGTCGTTCTCGAGTCCAATTCAAACTACAGTATCCACCGCAGAGTAGAGTAGAGGAGTCGAGGCGGAAGAAAAAAAAGGAGTTGACTTTTTCTATTGAGGATGTTGACGAAAGTGACCTAAACGCTCGCTGCTGCCACGTAGGCCCTATGCTCTTGCTTTGCGTTTCGTCTACCGATTTGGCGGTTAAGGTTTGGTTTAGATTGGTTTAGGCGCAGAACCATTGCAAAACCAAAGATACATTGAAATTAATTATCACTAAATATTTATTTTTGCAATGGTTATGCCGTAATATATACCAAATCGGAGTTTGACGGAGTTTAGAACTTCGATCATTATTTTAAAATAATTATTAAAATAATGTATTATTGGTTCTATGATTTATAGATGGTAGTTAAAAATTCTATGTTATTTGTTTAGAGATATGTTTTTGGATTTCAAATATGCAGTATGTTTTAAATGAATTTGAAAGTGTAAAATAGAAAAATTCAAATTCAAGGGTAAAACATGTTATTTCAAAATCGATGTAGTTAATTTTCATAATCAATTAGGATTTACAAATCAGTTAACCAATAATAGTCCCTAATTTTATGTTAAAGATGGACTTACAAATTTATAACAAGAAAAAGAAAAAGAAAGGAAAAATTCTCGAAAAACATGACTTATTTTGATATTTACCAGAAAATTACATGAACTTTTGATGTATTTTACTTGGATCATTCATCTTATCTTTTTTAAAGTAAATTTGTTTTTTTTTGTTGTCAAACTTGTTAATTTGTTTCTACACATGAAACTACTTATCACTTTGTTTTTTTTTTTGTAGATCTCAATTGGTACACTCGAGAGTATTCAATATACAGAGCATGTTTTTCCTTTTGACAAATAGAGGGCATTCGATATCTCTCATCATATATATATAACAAAAAAAAGATAAAAATACCAAAATGAGACAATTTTAATTTATTCTTTAAATTATTGATTTATACCGGTAGGTTAGGGTGTTCTACAAAGAGCTCACAATTCAATTTAGCGAGACAAGAAACAGTGAGAGTCAATGTCATAGTTGACGTACATCCTACCACCTCACTAGGAACCAATATCATAGCTGTCTTAGAAAATGGAAAACACTAGGAGTGCCCTGATCGATTTCACTAAAATCAACCATGACAAGATGCATTTACCTATAATCAAACACATTTTTCAAAAAAATTATTTGGTTTTTTTAAAAATTATATATGAGATTTGTAAATATTTTCAAAAAATATCCATTAGTACTCGTAATTACCAAACATTATCCATAATTAGTGTTTTTTCTTTTGGCAAACACACATGCCTTCTGGTAATTTTATTGGTTTTGATACTTAATTCAGAAATCCAGTTCATGTCTTTTGGACTAATCTTCTTTCTTTTGTTTTTTCTTTGCGATAAGTGTGGGATGAAAAAACATAGACACAAAATCCTATCTTTAAACACATCAAAGAAAAAAAAATTAACAGGAAATTTTCATATAATTTCATGTAAATACAACATTGGTTTCTGCCCACCAATTTAAACCCTATCGGTTCTAATACATAGATCAAATGGTAAAAAG